TCAGTACTCTACCTACCACACTCTCAGACTGTCTATCCCATAGCCCTGCTTTATTTTGCTTCATGGTACTCATCATCATTCTACATATCATACGCAATACACATATTTGTTAGTGAGATAGACATAAGAAAATCAAATCTTTCAATGAAGCTTGTTAAAACATTTCCCCTTTTCCAAGACAATCATTTTCAACGGTTAGCTGCTTTTTTTTTTTTTTTTTTTTTTTTTTTGGCCAGGGGTTGACTTCATATCTGTGAATAACATGCTCATATTGCTATTGTTATTCTTTTTATAGATGAGAATCTAGCTCGAATTTATTCCCTCACCTCTGTTGTCCCAAGTCCTGCACATACACATATGAGTATTTCCTGTCTTCAGATTCCCCAATGTATTATTAATAAATAATATATAGACAATGTTGGCGGTGAGAGCAACATTCAGGGTTTATGTTACTGATACATCATGGCAGAACCACCTAATATATAATTATATAATTATTGATGTCTCTTTTTATATTTTTCGGTTGTTTCCATTAAAATTTAAGTGTCATGTCTGTTTCTTTACTACTATATCCCCAGGACCTAGAACAACGTCAGAAGCATCAAAAGTGCATAATATACATTTATTCAATACCTATTATGTGCTACCAACACAATGTCACTAAACACAGAGTTAGGAATAAATTCACATAATCAGCTCTTAGAATTTAAGTTGGCTCTAGTACACCATTGGTTGAAATTCGGTCACCTAATTTTCTCCCCTCTCCCTTCCTCTTCCCCACTACAGGACTCCTAGGGATCCGCAGAACATAGCTTGAAAATACATGGGTAAGTATGACACCTTTAGAATATAGATGGGAACACTGAGACCTAGAGAGGTGAATGAACCCAGGTCTCCTAATATCCATTCCCGTGCTTTTTCCATTGCATTGTACAAGTGATAGCCAAATTAGTCTCTCATTTTTCTGCTTCCAATTTTCTAATCCTATTTCATTGATATTCTACAAATAGATTTGGTTCTAAGAAACTGCTTTCAGCAGTATCACCCCTGTTTCACTATAGAACCTTCTATGGCTCCCATAGAAGTCTTAAAGATCAAGTCTAGGCATCTTGGCCTTATTTTCAAAACCCTCCATAATCTGGCTGAGCTTTTTCTTCTTCTGCCTTTCTAAATATGCACCAATAGCTGAAGTCCAACTGACTCTCCCTGTTCATCAGAATCATTCTTGCCTTTGATTGCCTCTGGACTTTAGCTCTCTCTCTGCCACTTACCTGGAATTTTTTCCCCATCCTCTTTGCCTATCCAATGATAAACAAATCTCACATCCCAGCCCACATGCCAGCTCCTCTAGAAAGCCTTCCTAAACCACTAAAGTCTGTAGGGATTGCTACCACCTCTGAACTCCCGTTGCACAAATGAGTTTCTGCCATTCCTTTGTCCCTTAATATGTGAGGCCTTTTATTTTTAGTTTTCTTCGAAACCCTCATGATTTTTTTTCTATGTATCTTTGGGTTGATGTTTACATGCGTTTTTCTCTGTATATGTCTGTTATATCTGTGTCTTTATATAAGTGTTCATAACCTTATATGCATGTGTTATCTACCTATGTCCTGCTTGAGTGTATGCATTTGTGTTTCGTTGCTTGTTCTTCTCATGTCTATGTGCAAGCTCTGTGTATTTGTGTGTTTGCATGCATATTTTGTGTGTCTGTGTCCCATGTGCTTACATGTTTGTGTGTATACTTTGTGTATTGTGTGTCAGTGTACTCATGTTTATGCTTAAGGCCATGTTATACATATGTATAGCTATATATGAATATGTGCCTATATGTATCTGTGCATTTATGTTTATTTGTGGTAGTTGTAGATCTGTGTGTGTGTGTGTATCCTTGAGCAGGGCCTGTGTAGATTTCCTCTTTGTGCCACTGCTTTTCTCCAGCTCAGCAAGCCCAAGGTACACATACACACTGGGGAGGTCTGGGATAATGTTTACACATTGGTAAATTTCTCCAACCTGACCTTTCAATCTTTTTCTAGAATGGTGGGCTATGGGGGTAGAAATAGATACAGAGCCACAGTGACCTCTGAATACTAGGCCTGAAAGGGTGTGAGTCATTTTCTATGCTGTTCACCCACAGTCTGTGAACTCTTACCACATTCATACTATAATCTCAGGAAGCACTGAGGTTGAAAATAAGCAAAAGGTGGACTCCCTGGATTAAAGTAACTATCCATCTCTCTCTTTTTCAACCATCTCATCTTTTCTGACTCATGCCCTGGTGCATAGAGGATCAAAGGTACAATTTCTTGAAACACAGACTTGGATGGTAAATCACACTTCTGTCATTTATCAGTTATGTGACCTTGGGCAGGTTCCACGGTAAGTCCAGACCTCAGTTGTGTCAATAAGAAAAGGATATTAATAATGCCTTCCCTGTGAGTTAAGGCCTAGGGATAATGTTCATGGCACAGAGCAGGAGTTCTACAAATGATAGTTTTAGTATCACTTTCCTTGGGAAGCCTTCCCACACTACTATTGCCTTCATTAAATACTGCTCAAACCACAAGTTTTAAAGGTCAGTTAATAATTCACCTTGTATTAGTGTGTTCATATGTGTTTGTCTTTTCTTTACACTAAAATTTAACTTAGACAGGGACCATATCCAACATTTCTTCTCTCTCCCTCACAACATCCAGAGACAATCTGGAATTATTGTAGAAGTGATCATTAAAGGTACGAATGAAGCAGAATAGTATGTTACTTAACAGTATCATTTCTGGGGGCATACAGATAGGAGTTAGAATCTTGTCTAGGCACCCTCTATACAAGTAAGTGATTTCACTATTCTGGGTCTTAGGCACATTTGTAAAAGTGGCGATATATTCAATTTATGCATTCAACAAATATTTATTAAGTGTCTTATATGCTAGGCACCATTTTAGGCACTGAAAATACAACGGTGAACATGACATACAAAAATTCCTGCCTTCAGAAGTCTTACATTGCAGGCTTACATTCTGGAGACAGACAACAAAAAACTAAGACAATAAATACACAATATGTCAAGTAAAGATAGGCTCTACAAAGAAAAAGAAAAGTAGTGTAAGGGAGTACAGAGTGGTAGGGAGAGACACAAGACTCTGTACGATAATACCCACCTGAGGGGTTGAAAGAACCAAGGGAAATAATCCATGCAATGTGCTTAATTCAGTGACTGGAAGAGTAAAAGATTTTAAAATAGCAAGTATCATTATATAATTATTATTGTATGTATAGTATAGTTTGATTTTTTAAAATCTGAGAAGATGTAAGCATCAAATCTAATCATATTCATGTTACAATTAGGGTTGCTGGGGTTCGGAGACATATGACTTGTCCAAAGTCTCAGAATGAAGTAGACACAGAGCCAGGCTTATCTCCAGGTTTCTGACTTCTCAACTAATTCTTTTACTAATCAAGAGGTCTACTAAGCCTACTACAAAGCTGGAAGTCTTTCCTAGCCTTGCAGTAATATTGTGCATGTTCCCAAGGACATTATTCTATCTTCAGATCCAGGAGATCCTAACAAAATGCAAGAGGCAGCTCAAAACATACCTAATCACCAGGCCTGGCAGAAATGGTTACTAGTCCAGTGGGCTCTTTAGCAGGGAAGGAGTGTCTGTGTGTGTGTGTGTGTGTGTGTGTGTGTGTGTGTGTGTGTTGGTAGTCGTGATAGGGTGTTGGTTGAAAATATCAAAGGAGTGTTCTTCGAATTTCAGGGTTTCCTGAGTGAGGACTCAATCAGAAAAAATGGCTAAAAGTTCCAGTAAAATGGAATGAGTGCAGTACTCAAAAAACAAGGTACAACCAGCCAAGGGGAATTGGGCCATATAGGAAGAGGTAATTGATATAATTCCATGTAATAATGGGTCCTGAAATGCTAGAATGTCTTCTTAGCCCATGCACAGCTCCAAATCATCTGTATGCAGGCAACCCTTGGCAAGTATGTTTCTTTATATTCCCACTCCTCATCTCTGCACAAACTCCTCACTCCCCTGACCAAGGCCTTTCCTATCCCTCCAATCGAAAAGTAAACTAAGCTTAGATGTTACTTACAGTGTGGTATGAATTTTTTGAATGTATTTGTGTTTTTGAAAGTGCTTATAGTTTCAAAGCTTAGTAGACAAAGGGCAGTGACAAACCTACTTAGGCTGCTAATGAAATTATAGTCACTCTGCGGGCCTGTGAAGAGGGGCAATTTCTGGAGCAGTTGAACTTTGCTATGAGGCATAATATTACTCTCTTGTAGGTCAAGAGCCTGTACCCATTGGAAGTCAATGAAAAATTCAATGTATTAGAGCATATCACTAATGGGTTGGTGCAATGGAAGCTAGGCTTAACTTTCCCGTAAAATAAGTAAATAATAAGTTCCTTATGAAAAAGCATGAAGAACATTTAATGAAAATGAATTATTCCTTGCCACCAGAGAGGTGGAGCCATTGGAGAAAGTGATTCAAAGACCTTCCCCCATATGAGATATGAGGCATATTCACCCATATCAGCCTTATCCATTGGTTTGCCAATTACTCAAGCTTTGATATGTAGAAAGCCCTTGAATTCACTAAGTTCTTGTACTCCTAAGCCCAAAGGCACCCCACACCCAACACCCTGTCCATTTGCCTAGGTTGCGTAGGCAAGGGTTAATATTACAACTGATGAAAATTGCATAGGCCAGCTAAGTTGATTTCTTCTCCCTGGGATCACCACAAAGAAAAACACCCCTATACTGGAGTGAGAAGACTCATCCCATAGGTTGCCCTCCAACCAAAATAAACACAGCCTGGGAGATCAAAGACCAGAGAGCCCCACTGGCTCCAGGGAAAGTAAAGTCAATACCCTAACAGGGGGAAGAATTGCTTCACTCACCCTGGAACCTCCAACCCCAGGGAGGTGGCGGAAGGGGGGCACCCCACATGACCTATGCCGAAATAGGGAAGGAAGAGGAATGTATGATGGGACTAGGAGTTTGAGTGAGAGATATAAGGAAGGAAGGGAAGTAAGCAGACACAGACGCTGGTGGCCACCAGAATTTTGAGCCTCTTTGGTAGGAGTAGGCTGGAAGAAAGGACAAAAGTGGCTCTGGCTGTGATGGGGATCTTACTGGGCCTGCTACTCCTGGGACACCTAACAGTGGACACTTATGGTAAGGCAGAACGTGGGGTCCTGGCTGCCACTGCTGGCTTAGGCAAAGGCTGGGGCAGGGGTGGTGGTTAATGCTTACTAAGGAAAGCCTGTTCCTGTTGGGCAGGTGAGTGTTCTCAGCCAAACCGTGCAGGTTCTCTCAGCCAAACTCTGCAGGTTCTCTCAGCCTTCAGCAAAAGGGATGGAGGTAGTTGAAGGCTGCTGAAGAAGCCAGGAGGCAAGGTTGGGAAGCATTTGAAAAAGGATTTTCTCTTGGAAAACGCAGGCATGATTTCCTAGGGCTTGTATCTCAGGGGCATCAAGAAGGCTCCCAATGACACTCGAATTTTTCCCCCATCTGCTGTCTCATCTAAAATTCTAACATTAGATTTAACCCATCTGCTTTCAAGCTTTGGTCTCTGTTGAAATATACAGACCCCAAAGAAGGAATGTTTTTAAGAGTTGGATAGGAATACAGAAGTAACCTATATCACCCTTCATTGACATGAACAAGTGCTCAGAAAAATTCAGTAGCGACTAAGATTTCATTGTTCACTACCTTCCCAGACCATCTAGTCTATCAGCAGCTCCAACTGTTAGAAAGTTACTTGTATTGAACTAAATCCAGTTCCCTCTGACTTCCATCCAAAAGCCCCAACTCTGCTTCTTGGAGCTATACAGAACATAACTGCTTGCTTGCCCTGTGACAGCCCTGCAAAGGCCTGAGGACAAATACTGTGTCCCCTTGATTCTTCTCTCCTTCAATCTGAAAAGCCCCAGCTTTTTCAACTGGTCTTCATAGGACTTGGTTTCTTACCCGCTCCTGGGCTAACTCACTTCCCTACAAGCACGGCTAAATTTGTCTAGGCTGTTCATGGGCTCAACACAAATTCCAAATGAGGATGGACTATTCCATAGAAACATTATTTCCTTGGAGCTTGGGAAGCTCTATCCTCATTTACACTCCTGAGAAGTGAGATGGATTTTCAGGAAGCTTAACCTGTGTAACAGCGAAGTAAGACCCAATATAGGGTAAAGGTTTTTGCTGCTTCCCTATTCTCCCTAGAGAAAAAGGATGGATGGGTGTCAGTTTGTTGTCACTTGCGAAGTCAGTAAAAATCCAGCTTTCCATGGCTGACTCTGATTAGGTTACCCTATCCTGAGATTCTGTGACCCATCAGACTGTAAAATTTCAGAGCTAGAAAACACTCTAGGATTAAGTCATCCAAGGGAGAAAATAATTTGCCCCCAAGCCAAAGAGCATTAGTGGCAGAGTTAATGCTCCTGAAAAATATTTTTCTTTCTGTAACTACCATATTTCCATTCCCTGGTGGGTTTTATAATGTATCTCTCTACCTTCTCCAAGTCTGTTGGTTTGAGCTAGGGCTCAAGCCTGGGGCTTGAGGGAGGATTTTAGAAATGTTAAATTTAAATCCTCTCTGTGTGTGTGTGTGTGTGTGTGTGTGTGTGTGTGTGTGTGTGTGTGTGTGTCTGAGAGAGAGAGAGAGAGAGAGAGAGAGAGAGAGAGAGTACACTCATGTGTCTTGTTCTTTCCCCAGCCTGTGAGATTTCCAGACCTGGAAGCAGGCCTTCCATTTGTATATAGGATCTTACACTACAGACCTGAGGACCAGGATATGCTGAACTGCAAATAATATCTTCCCTCTTCCTGGACCTCATTGTTCCTAGCCCATTTGTACAGTGAGGAGGTTGACTTGGCTGGACTCAAAGGGATTTCGCAGCTGGACAGCTCTGTTGGGCTGAGGCTTCACCGCTAAAAAGCCTGTAAGGGCCAGAATCAGCTGCTAACCTCTTCCTGTGGGGCTAAGAAATATGTCAAGATAATCAAAATTTTTAAAATTCTAATATTCACATTTTATAAACATTTTAAGCATTTCAGAAACATTTTATAAACATCTATTATATAAGCTAATCCTCTATCCAGGAGACATCCCAGGAACGGGGGAAGGGAGAGAAATCAGTCATGTTGGGGCACGGGATAGACATATGAAAAATGTCACCCTCTTTGTGATGATGGGAGGAGGATATTCAGAAAGAGACCTAGAATGGGTCTTATAAAGGAACACACATATAGTAAATTCAGCCTTTCTTTTTTTCAGTACCATTGCACAGGCCTCAGACATTTGCTTTTATAAGTAGGCTCAGTACTGTCCTCTCTTTGTCAAGCCAGATTCTCCTTCCACAAAGCTCCTTGAGTCAATATCCAGCCCTGGTCTTTCTCCTGAGAGAGGCCAATGTTTGAAGGAAACCCAATCATTTCCTGAGGGAGGAGAGCAAGGCTTGGGAACTATGAGAAAGGTTTTTCCAGAAAGCAGCTGCCAGATAGGAGCATCTTTTTTCAGACAATCATGGGATAATATATAACCCAAGGATACCATCCAGAAGCTGTGTCAGGTAGGCCCAGGTAAGGAGTTGCTGGTTTCAATTGTGACTGATGGTTTAATAAATTAAGAAAGTAAGAAAGCAGCATAGCATCTGAAAACCTGTATTCTAGGCCTCCAAGCCCAGCTTTGACCTTGCTATCCATGTGACTTTGAGTAAGCATCTGCCTATCTCTGGGCCTCAGCTTACCCATATGTATCATGAGGGAATGTAACTAAGTGATTTATAAAAGATCCTCCATCTATGTCATTCCAGAAGGCTACAAATTTCATCCTCTTTGGTACCTCAACCCCTGTTATACCAAGTGCCTTGCCAGGTAGTGGTTTTGAGGTATCCATAATGGGCACAGTGCTCCGCCAAGAGATGGGGCTTTCCTGAAATGAATTTTTCCTACCCAATCTTCCAGGAAAATCATGAGTATTGCTTAATTTGGCCAACATTTCACATTGGCTGCCAAGACAGGCCTGTTATTGGAGGCACGGTGTCCTATGTCATCTCCAGCTGCCCTGCAACCCACAGACAACCTAGTACCTGCCCATAATTCAGTAGATCATATCAGATGGGGGATAGCATTTCCTTACCTTACCATGTGATGACTTCTGATTCGGGTCAATATTAAAGCTGACAGTGTTCCAACTTAATGAATCTGTTTATCCAGGGGATGATATATTGAAGACTGCTGTAGCACAGGAATAATTTAAGACAAATACAAGAAGTTGCACTTAGGGCATGAGACATTTATCCAGCACCCACTGCATGCCAGCCATATGCTAGGTGCTTTCACACATATGAACTTATTTAATTTTCACAATTATCTGCCATGGAATCTTTATTATTACTTCCACTTTACTGATAATGACCTGAATTTCAGATAGGTTTAGTAATTTATCCAAGGTCACATAGAGAGATATGTGGTAAGGCAGACCTTGGGCTTAGATCAGTGTTATTCCTACTACACCATGCAGTCCTTCACTACCCCCCTGCTCTCATTAGGAGCTCCTACTAGATTCTAAGGGCACCACAAGGAAAGGTAGAAGGTATAAGTCAGTGCTATTGTGGTTAACCTCTCTTTGGAGATTGGAGAACACAAGGAATAGTACAATGTCCTTTTTCTTGTGATGCCCTGTACCTATAATCCAGTCTCTCTTTATGCAACTAATGAAGCAGGAGGAGAGAAGAACAAGAAAAAGGAGAAGGGACAAAAAAAAAAAGGAAGAGAAGCATAATGAAAGAATGGGTGGAAGGAATAAAGAAGGAAGAAGAGAAGGAGAAAGAAAAAAGTGAAAGGAGGAAAAATGCCATTTTGGGAACTCTAGTTACTAACTCTGTCCTGTTCATTCTAGGATGGAGGAGTCAAGCCTGACCTACTTCCAGAAGTGATGTTCAAAATTGAGAAGTTGAGACTAGCTAGCAATGTTCTTGACAGACCAGACTGAGCTTTGTGACAATTTCCAGCAAATTCCCAGAGAGGGGAATATAAGCCAGGCCTTGCAGCTCTCCTAAGGTCAGAAGGAAGACACACATACACAAAGACAATGGCATTTTCAACTGTTCCAGATATCCTCAAAGCAGAATGCTGCTTTATTGCCTGAGAGGAATGCTTTTCAGAGAAGAGGAGGGACATTTGGAAGGTCCAGGGAAGGATTAATGGGAAATAACCTATTAAACCGAGAGACTCAGATAGCTTTCATGGGATTTAAAAATGGTATATTTGTGCTTGCATGTGGCCAAAAATATGTATGGGCATGTGTGTCCATGATAATGAAAAGCTGTATCTGCAATCACATGGAGGCATGAATTATCTATAGCACAGTGAAACCCACTACCTGGTGAAAATTCACCACCAGCTGGAATATATCATTATTTAACTTCTATTTCCATTATAGTCTATTAGCACTGGACCACCTAAGATTAGGAGGGACCTTAAAGAGCAATGTTAAAACACAAACAAAGCCTAGAACTTCCCCATCCATAGACAGCTCTGATTAGTCATAAAGTGCATTTTAAGGCAAACCATCCCTTCTGTGATATGGAAAGCAGAAAAGAGTAACATAAAAATAAATAGAATCAGGAAAACAGAGCAAACCAAAATCTGCCCTCTTGTATTCCCATTCATACATCTGAATTCTGCTCTATGCCAAAGTTGAAACTCTCCAGGGCGTATGTAGTGGATCTAGCAATATGAACTTACATTTATTTATTCTTTTCTACTCAAGCGCTTTTTCTTGGCTAAAATATACTATTGATGTTCTAAGAGTCCCTGGTGAGGGCAGAGGCTAGAGGCTTTACTTTAGTGTCTCTATTAACAGAAGTTCTGATGCTGGACAGTACATTCTAGGAGTTAGAAAGCATACACTCAACCCATCCAAAAGATGTCATCTTCCATCTGCTTGACTGAATACTGGGAATTCTAGGCTTAATAAAAGGCTTTTATTCAGTAATACTTCAGATCTTTGAAACCACCTCTCTTTGGAGAGACATGAACATATTGCCTAAATATACCCACCCACACTCCTGGTCCCAGTTAAATAACACAAAAATCTTTCAGAATAAGAGCTTATGAATGGAAAATTCTGATGGGAGGCAATGACTGTTTCAACATCCCCACCTCCTTGGCCCACCCCCACCTCTAAGGGTTTCCCTCTCAAGCATGGCAAGAAGCAATCTCCAATTGCTTCTATCATCATCTCCACGACAGCTTCAGGATTTCACTCAGACCCTTTTCCTCTCCAGACCAAGAATGGATGAAATCATTTCCCCCTCAAAATGAAATTTTCCTGTCTACCCTTGCTAAGAACTAAGACAAACCAAAAGGAAAATAAACAAATAAAAGAGAAATTAGAAATTCAGGCTTACAAACCGCTTGTCTCAAACTTAACAATAACTAATGATTTTGTTAAACAGGAATGTATATCCAGACTTCCTCACACAGGGTTCCACCTCAGTATTGTCTTTTGCCTGTCTTCCAGAGAATAGCTTAGGATTGGGACCCTAGTCACTGAGGATTTGTAAGGGAACAAGAGAAGATAACGAGAAAGATCCCTTTGTTGCTGAACCTCAATGCCTCCATGTTTCTCCAGGTGCATATTTACACAAAATAAAACAGTCCAGACCCAATTGCTTAGCATTTTTGCTTCCATATCTCTTTTGGAAAATGTCAAAAGAAATTTTTTTCATGGATTTGCAGAATGACAGAGTTGATAGAATGTCTAGAGCACATACCATCCAAACTCTCCGTATTATATATGAAGTAAATTGATCTTCCATGGTAGGAAGATGACTTACCTAGGATCACCTCCATAGCAAGAAAGTAACATAAAAAAGACTTGAAACTCACAAGATCTGAACAATGTTAAGGGCTTTTATCCTGAAGACTGGTTCTGAATGATGAGAAGGCTGTCAAAGAGTAAAAAGGCACAGGTACACAAAAGTGTGACAGAAAAAAGGTTGAGTGGTGTTTCTCAAAAACCTTTTGAGGTCTTCCACTGCCACTCTAGTTGCCAGGTAGGTATGCCATGTATGTTTGCTTCTTTTCTCTGTTCTCCCTCTTCAGGCCTTCCCATCCTGGAAGTGCCAGAGAACATAACAGGACCTTGGAAAGGGGATGTGACTATTCCCTGCACCTATGGCCCCCTCGAAGGCTACACTCAAGTCTTGGTGAAATGGCTGGTACATCGTGGCTCATACCCTGTCACCATCTTCCTACGTGACTCTTCTGGAGACCATATCCAGCAGGCAAAGTACCAGGGCCGCCTACATGTGAGCCACAAGGTTCCAGGAGATGTATCCCTCCAACTAAGTACCCTGGAGATGGATGACCGGAGTCACTACATGTGTGAAGTCACCTGGCAGACCCCTGATGGCAACCAAGTGGTGAGAGATAAGATCACTGAGCTCCGTGTCCAGAAACGTGAGTCACTGTGGGGGTACGAAAGCATTGATAATCAATGAATCAATAGAGAATGTTATTCTAGAAACTCTTGAAAAACTCTGAGGCCTTTGTTTATCTATGATAGGCTCTCTTCAGGTGTATGTGCTTATCAGACGAAGTGGATAGGCAGAGGATTCTTCGGGTCAGTGTTCCAAATTTAAGAAGTGCTGGGAAGGTTTCCTGACCTGTAAATAAATCTCTATCCCTTCAATTGTCCCAGAAATGCTGGCATTCATAGCCTAGTTACTCTCCTTGGGCTCTGGGCTTTACAACTGAAAAATGAGTATGATTAATTTTTAGATAGATGCTGATAGAGGAACTCTGGGGAAAGGGAGGAAGAGGTTAGCCAGGATAAGTTTGCTGGCTGGACAGTTTTACAAAGGCCCAGACCTGATAATCCAAAACTGCAGATAATCAAAATCTCTACTTGAGCCCTAAAAAAAGCTACATTATTTTTAAATGTCAGCTAATTTTTACCTCCAAATATTCCAAAACCCCAGATAATACAAAAACGTACCTAACTTCAAAGGAAGTCATTTAATTTGTATTGCACTTTCCCTCCTATTTCCTCTAAAGTGGAGCCCCCTTTAGTTCCAGTTGCAGATATACACATGCCTTTATGCCCAACAAGAATGATTTGGCCTTGTGGTCCCATATCCTTATGACTGCCCAGAGTTTCCTGTCTTGTCTTTTCTTTGCAGTCTCTGTCTCCAAGCCCACAGTGACAACTGGCAGCGGTTACGGCTTCATGGTGCCCCAGGGAATGAGGATTAGCCTTCAATGCCAGGCTCGGGGTTCTCCTCCCATCACTTATATTTGGTATAAGGAACAGACTAATAACCAGGAACCTATCAAAGTAGGAAACTTAAGTACCTTACTCTTCAAGCCTGCATTGGTAGCCGACTCTGGCTCCTATTTCTGTACTGCGAAGGGCAAGGTTGGCTCTGAGCAGCACAGCGACATTGTGAAGTTTGTGGTCAAAGGTGAGCAGCCCTCTCTCCTGGTGAGCATCTTAACAGACCAGCTTGAACCAAAGATACCTCAAAATGTGCCCTTATGCAAAAGAAGAGTTAGGAGGGTGGGGTCTCAAGTAGGCAATGGTTGTACAATCACAAAGAAAAAAAGTTGGGACTGGGGACAGCAAACATAGAAACATTGCCTGTCATGCCATAGGTTAAGTAGATAAAGATGATAAAGGAAACAGTGAGATTTACTAGTACATTGTATTTGCCAGACACAAAGTACAAGAACTTGACACACATTTTCAAATTAAATCCCCATGACTGTCCCATGAGATAGTTATCATTACTTTTATTTTGTAGAAGAGGATACAGAATCAGAAAGGGGAATCTACTTTCCCATGATCTCACAGCAAAGAAGCATAAACCCGGATTTGCACTCAGATTTCATGCTCTTTTTACTATGTCTGATTGTTTCTCATGATTGAATCTATATCAGATCCTCGGCACCCTTTGAAAGCTGTTGTTTTTTGCTTGTTTATGTGTTCTGTTTGTTTGTTATTGTTTTGCTTGTTTGATTAGGCTTGATCTAATATATTTGCATGCTTTCTTTTAACTTCCCTTCTCCACTTCATTGCAAAGCCAGAAAGAAGTTTTGGTTGAAGTATCCTTGAAGATGGGCTTTGGTTAATCAAGACTTGACTATTTCTTATAGCACTGTCCTGAGAGCACTACAAACTATGATCATAGGCTGAGTTTTAAATGAAGAGTCCAACAATGATATGTCCAGATGAATTTTCTTACCTTACGAGAGATCTCCTTGGAAAGAAAGACACCCCAACAGGGCTACCATTGCCCAAAACCTGTTGGAAACTAACTGATTTTAGAGAATTGCCCTTAGAACAATCTGAAAATTATTGTCCTCTGAGGATAGATCTGTATAAGAAGAGTGCGTAAACCTAGCCCAAATGGCTTATCACCATTTGGCCTAAGAGACTGACGTTCGTTTGAAACACCTGTGTTTGCCTGGAGGGATTTGTTTCCCAAAGTTATACTATAGTGAAGATGTATGTGATGTAGACCCTGGCTTGTTAGTTTTGGGAGAAACAACAGCGGTCTGCCCTGAAACCTTATATGAACAGTGTCATAGAGCCAATAGCCTGGTCAAGCAGAGAGGGCAAGGAATGACCAGAAAGCCCAAGAATGTATTCTTTATAGAGACTAATTGAACATTCTTGCCTTTCTGTGAGTTGCTTCTTCTCAGACCATCTAGGCAAGAACTTGCTCACAGTAAACCAGTCTGTCTATTCCTTCTCCCAGTCAATGCTTATCAATGTTAAGCAGTGCTCGTCATTGCCCCCTACTGATAGATAAGAAAACTGAGGCTCAGGGAAGTTATTCTCAGCCTTCCGCTCCTCCCTGCCCTGTGAGCCAATGTAATCGTTCCTGGCTACTTCTACCTGCCTCCCTGTCCATCCTAACCTGGTCCCATGAGTCTGATCCCTTTTCACCTCTGACCTACAGAACTCTCAGCCCTTTGCCCTTCCACCTCACTCTGCACTATTCTTTATTTCTAGAATGGTTCTGGAGGCCCTGCCTTTGCCCATGTTCTTGGACTGCTGAGCTTTGCTGACAAACAAAACAAAACACAGATATGAACTGACTCCACTTTAATTTTATGCTCTGTGATATCCACTGCTTGCCCCCATACTGTGTGTCAATCTGTTTGCTCATCTTTGTCTCATTCCTTGTAGCAGTTTTCCATAACATTTACACCTTATTTCAGGCCCCCAGCCCTGCTCCTAAAAGATAAAGTAACTTCCTTCTTCTGTAAGAAGATCCAGGCCCTCTTCAGATATGACTTTTATCAAATACCCTCCTCTCTGCCTTGATATTTCCCTATCCTTTTCCTCTTGGCTCGGAGTAAGGTATGCTTTGCTCCTCTCCACAGCAAGCCCCTTCTCTTGAACTCTTCACATCAACTACACCAATGCCCTGCAATTCCCTTCATCCTCCACCTAAGCCAAATATATGCATGTATAATGTATGTATATATGTCAGTATGCAAGCCTAATACATGCATATATATATATATATATATATATACATATATATAATTTTTAAAAAATCTTTGTCCCATCTGCCATCCCATCTCTCCTACGGTCACTACCAATCTTCTCAAGAAGGTAGCTTCCAACAGCTGAACCTCTGAATTCATTCACCACAAAATAACTTTGTAATCTGGGGTCATCATTAATCTCCATATCATCAAATCTCAAGACCTCTCCATTCATACTTTTCCTCCTCAACATCTCTGTAGTAGTGGATCTTGTTGGCCATTTCTTCTTCCTCAAAATTATTCCAATTACTGCTATCAATGACATCAATTTATCTTGGTTCTCCTAAGACTTTTCTGAATGATCCTTCTTAGACAACTTTGCTGGCTCTTTCTTCATTCACTCCTTAATTGTAAATGTTCTCAAAGACTCAATTCTTATTCACCTCTGCATGTATTTCTATATTTTCAGGAAATATTATTTACTTCTATGACTTCAAATATCACCTACAGGCTGGTGACTCTCAAGCCATAATATTATCTGTAATTTTTCTTCTGACTGCTAAATCCCAGTGTCTAGTTACCTTCATGAAAGCTTCATTTCTAATTGCAGCCTGTTCAAAACTGTATGTATCTTTTACTCGCCAAACCTTTCCTCAAACCTGTTAGAAAACACAGCAGTATCATTGACTCCTCCTTCTCCTTTACCTCACATGGTCGAGTAATCAACAAGATCACCAAGTACTGGAAATTCACCTACTGAATCAGATCCTTTATTAGGCTCTTCCTTTCTCTTCCTATACCCTCATGGTCTCATATTCTTTTCTAAAAAACAATTTCAATCATCTTCTAAATACTCTCTCCATGTTAATACATTCTTACGAAATCAGCAACTTATTCAATATTTATTGAGTACATACTTTATGTCACTAGATTATAAAATTCAAGAGTGCAGAATTCTACCTGTCTACTTCATGGCTGTTCTCCAGAGTCCACCAAAGTATTTGGCACAAGAAGACACTAGACACCAGATGAATGCTGTATTTATTAATGGATGGGAAAAATATGCTACTCCCTTACCTTCAAAAATCCTACCACACTGTTGTTAGAATTATTTCCCCAAAAAATAGACTGAACAATTTTCACTTCTGTTCAAGGAAGTAAACCTTTCTCAAAAGGTGTGTAACCTTCTGTTATACCCCAAGGATCCTTCTAACCAAAAAACAAAGTCCAAACCCTTTTACTCTGTTTTCAGCCTACCTATGCAGCCTTATCACCTAACATGTCTCTCGACATCTAAAACATAGCATGCTGTTTGCTCTGTCTTCAGCATTACTCCTCCTTCTCAGCCTAAAGAAATTCTATTGACCCATCACTGATATCTTCTTTTTGCATTAAGATATACCTCACATTCTTTAAAAAAAAAAAAATCAACATTTAAAGTATACAATTAGGTGGTTTATATGTTTGTGCAACTGTCACCATTATCTAATTCCAGAAAATTTCGATCACCCTAAAAGAAAACTCTGGACTCATTAAGCAGTCACTTTTATTCCCCTATCCCTTAACTCCTAAAAAACACTAATCTACTTTCTGTCTCTAAGGATTCACCTATTATGAATATTTTATATAAATTGAAGCATACAATACATGACCTTTGTTGCCTGTTTTCTTCCACTTAGCATAAAGTCTTCAAGGTTCGTTCATGCTGTAGCATGTATCAGTACTTCACCTTTCTCATTGGTAAATAATATTCTATTGCATGGACATATCACATGTTATTTATCCATTCTTCAGTTGATGGGCATTTGGGTTTTATCTACATTTTTGGCAATTACAAATAATGCTGCTATGATTAATCATGTAAAAGTTTTTGTGTAGAGTTATGTTTTTAATTCCCTTAAGATATATGACTGACTGGAATGCCTAGGCCGTAAAGTAATTCCATGTTTAACTTTTTGAGGAAGTTTCAAACTCTTGCCCAATGTGGCTGCCCAATTTTCCTTTTCCATGAGCAATATATGAGGGTGGCAATTTCTCAACATTCTCACCAGCACTTGTTATTTTCTGCTTTATTTTTTAGATTATAGTCATCCTAGCGGGTTTGAAGTGCTGTCTCATTGTGGTTGTGATTTGCATGTCACTGATGACCAATAATGATCAGCTTTTTATGTTATTATTGGAGAACTACCTTTTCAAATACTTTACTCATTTTAAAACTGGGTTGTTTGCTTTTTTGCTGTTGAGTTATAAGAGTTTTCATATATTTGGAATACTAGATACTTCTCAGATATTTTATTTGCAAATATTTTCAGATTTTATATATTGTATTTTCCCTTTCTTGGTAATATTCTTTGAGGAGGTAAGGTGTTTAATTTTGATAAAGTTCAACTTATCTTTTTTCTTTTGATACTTGTGTTTTTGGTGTCATATGTCATAATCTGTTGCCAAACTCAAGTTCATGAAGTTTTATCCCTTTGTTTTATTTTATGAGTTTTATAGTTGTAGCTCTTAAATTTGTGTCTTTGATCCACATTCAGTGAATTTAGTGTGAAGTAGGAGCCCAATTTCACTCTTGTCCACATGACTATCCAGTTGTCCCAGCACCATTACCTGAAGAGACTGTACTTTCCCATTGTACAGTCTTAGCAGCCTTGTTGAAAATCAATGATTAATGATATGTAAGCTTATTTCTAGACCCTCAATTGATTAAATTTGTTTCTAGGTATTAATTTTCACGCTATTGTAATGGAATTTTTTCTTAACATCATTTTTTGATAGTTCATTGTTAATGCAGAGAAATACAACTGATTTTTGTGCATTGCTCTTGTATCCTGCAACTTTGCTGAACGAATTGATTGGCTCTAGTCATTATTTTGTGGATTTTTAAGAATTTTCTATATATGACTATGTCATCTGAAAATGGATATAGTTTTATTTCTTCCTTTCCAGTCTGTATGACTTTTATTTTTCTTGAATCATTTATCTGGCTAGTACTTCCAGTATAATGGTGAATAAACATGGAAAGAATAAACATCCTTGTCTTGTTCCTGATCATACAGGAAAAACTTTCAATTTTTCACAATTAAGTTTGATGTTAGCTATGGATTTTTTGTAGATATCTTTTATCAGGTTGAGAAAGTTTCCTTTATTCCTAGTTTGTTGAATATGAATGAGAGTATTTTATCATGTAAGGATTGTGTCAAATACCTTTTCTGTGTCTATTGTGATGATTGTGTGCCTCTCCCCTTTTATTCTTTTTTTGATGGCTCTGCTTTCATATTAGAGTAATATTGATCTCATATACTGAGTTGAGAAGTATTATCTCACTAATTTTTTGAAATAATCAGTAAAGATTTAGCATTAATATTTCTTTAAATGTTTGATAAAATTCATAAGTGAAGCCACATGTGTCTGGCCTTTTCTTTGTTGGTAGTTGTTCAGTGAGCAATTCAATTTTTTTCCTTGTTCAAAGTCTGTCTTTTCAAGTTTTTTATTTCTTCTTCAAAAATTAATTTTTGTTATTTATTACTAATTTCATTTCATTGTGGCTGGAAAACATACTTTGTATTATTTTGGTTTATACAAATTCACTGAGATTTATTTTATAACCTAACATATGGTCTATTCTAGATAATGCTCTATGGGCACTTGAAAATAATGTGTATTCTGCTGTTTGTTGTGTGTATTCTGTATATATGTATTACGTCTGGTTGGTTAACAGTGTTGTTCAAGTCTTTAACTCCCTTGCTGATCTTCTTTCTAGTTATTCTGTCTGTAATAGGGTGTTAAAATTTCAAGCTATTATTGTTCAGTTGTCTATTTCTCCCTCCAATTATATCAGCTTTTGCTTTATGTATTTTGGGGTTGTGCTGTTAGAAGCATTTCTGTTTGTAATTAAAGTGCCTTTATGATGGATTGTTTTATCATTATAAAATGTCTTTTCTTTTCTCTTCTAACAATTTTTGTCTTAAAGTCTATTTTGTCAAACATTACTATAGGCAGTTCTATTTTGGTAACTGTTTGTGTGATATATCTTTTTCTCTCCTTTTGCTTTCAAATCACTCGTATCTTTGAACCCTAAGTGTGTAAAACATATAGTTAGATTGTTTTTTAAACCACTATGCCAATCTCTGCCCTCAAATGTGAGTTTAATCCATTTACATTTAATGTAACTACTAATAAGATATTATTCATGCCTGATATTTGCCATTTGCTTTCTATGTATCTTATGTATCTCTTATTTTTCCATTCCTGTACTGCTATCTTTAGTGTTAAGCAGATAATTTCTAGTGTAGTAGGTAATTCCTTTGTTGTTTACTTTACTACATACCTTGAATACTTTTGGTAATTTCTCTGGATATTGCCATTAATTCTTAGTCTACAATTTAATTTGGATTTATACTAACTTGATTTCAATAGTATACAAAAACTTTGTTTCTATGTAGTTTCATTCCTCCTTCTTCAATGTTGTCATGAGAAAAAAATTACATCTTTGTATATTATAATTACATCAACATAGATTTATAATTATTTCTTTATTTGGTGTCTCGTCAATCAGGAAAAAAAGAAGTTACAAACAAAAAATACATCTACGCTCTATATATACTTCTGTAGTTGCCTTTGCTGGTGCCTTTTAATTTTTTTTTTTCATGTTGATTCAAGTTATTGTCTACTTTCCTTTTATTTCAGCCTAAAGAATGCTCTTTAATATTTCCTATAGGTCAGATCTGCTGATGATTAATTCTCTCAGTTATTGTTTATCTGGGAATGTCTTACTTTTTCCCTCATTTTTGAAGGGTAGTAATAATATAGAATTATTGATTTATAGGGTATCTCTTTCAATACTTTAACTATTTCATCCTACTGTCTTCTGATCTCCATTATTTCTAATGAGAAATCATCTATTAATCTTATTAAGAATCTCCTGTACATGATCAGTTGCTTCTCTCTTTCTGCTTTCAGTAGTCTCTCTTTGGCTTTGGCTTTCCATTGTGATGTGTCCAGGTATGGATATTTTTTAGTTTATCATACTTAAAGTTTGTTGAGCTTCTTAGATTTTGAGATTATTGTTTTTCATCAAACTCAAATATTTTCTGACATTATTTCCTCAAATATTCTGTCTTTTTCTCTTATCCATTTCTACTATGACTCTCTATACATGTATGTTCGTAAACTTGATGGTATCCTACAGGTCTCTGAAGTACTGTTCATTTATCTTTGTTCATGAATTTTCATTCCTATTACTCTAAATGAATATCTTTAATAGTCATATCTTCAAGTTTACTGTCTTTATTATGCTTGCTCAAATCTGATCTAGTGAATTTTTCTACCCTTTGGTGAAGTTTTCCTCTTGGTTATTGTTTTTCAACTCTAGTATTTCTATTTGGTTTCTTTTTAAAATATCAGTGTCTTTATTGATATTATCTATTCTGTTTGAATCATTTCCATTCTTTCTTTTTGTTATTTTGATATATTTCCTTTATTTTTTGCCATGTTTTAATTGCCTTTTCTACTAAATACAACATCTGTGTTTCCTTGGAGGCAGTTACTATTGATTGACTTTTTACCTGTTTATGGGATATGCTTTCTTGTTTCTTTGCATGTCTCATATATTTTTGGTTAAATATTGGAATTTTTAAGCAACACAATGTGGCAACTGTGAAAATCAGTTTCACTTTCTCCTCAGGGCTTGTTGTTGACATTCCTTGTTGTAGTAGTTGTTTTTAGTTTAGTAACTTTTCTGAACTTTTTCTGTTTAGTTGTCTTCTGTCTTCTTTGTCATGGATGGACACTGAAGTTTTTACTTTGTTAGCTTCGTGGTCAACTAACAATTGGATAGAGATTTATTTATTTATTTTTAGATGGAATCTTGCTCTGTCACCAGGCTGGAGTGCAATGGCATGATCTTGGCTCACTGAAACCTCCAAGTCTGGGTTCAAGTGGTTCTCCTGCCTCAGCCTCCCAAGTAGCTGGAACTACAGGTGCATGCCACCACATCCAGCTAATTTTTTGTATTTTTAATAGAGACAGGTTTCACCATGTTGGCCAGGACGATCTTCACATCTTGACCTCGTGATTCACCCACCTTAGCCTCCCAAAGGGCTGAGATTACAGGTGTGAGCCACCTCACCCAGCTGGATAGAGATTTTTTTAAATACCTGGAACAAATAAATCTCCTAGTCTTTGCCAAAAAGCTGTATTGCTTTTTGAGTCATGTCTTCAATACTAAACCAGGCAGTTTTCAACTGTGCCACAGCCATCACTTCCTGCTTATGCAGAATTTCTAAGCTAGCCAGAGGGAGCAGCTTATGGTTCTCTCATGTCTTTCCTGAGCAGGCACACAGCCCTACGCTTGTGTGTGGCCTTCTAGTTTCCCAGAACTGTGTCAGAACTTTTCAAAATCCCTATGGAAATCTTATTCTTCAACTCCTTTTAAGGCTATTTTGGTTCGTTTTTTGTTTCTCTCACCTATTTTGCATTGCCTCAGGCAGCTGTGTGACAAATGCTACCCCATCCCTGAGGAGAGGCTGTTAGCACTGAGTGACCAATAAAAAAACTCTTTTGAGTCAGGTCTTTCAGGGAACCACCAGACAGGCCAAATAATGGCAATTGTTCAAAAATGAAGTTTGTTGGGCTCATTCCAGCACCTGGAATAAGGTTGGTTGTATGTTCAAGATTACCTGTGAGCTAGAAGGGGTAAAGGAATGAGAATAAGTTAAAACAACTTAAAGCTTGTTGTTCCTACAAAAACTGCAGTATTTTTCTTCCATAAATCCTCACTAAGTTGCTGCAAACCTTTGGCTAATTTGCAAAATTCTGAAAAAAGTTCATTGTGTCAAATTTTGTATTATTTTACTGATTTTGTTAAAGGGTAAATTTCTGGAGGTTATTATGCCATCATTTTCATTAATGCCACCCATTGCCACCTTGTTTGTGATACTTTCTAAGTTTCTCTCAAGAAAATTAATTACTAAGTCTTAGCTAGAAGTTAGTAAAAATAAAATATGATTTCCCATATACGTTGACTAACCCTCTGAACTCTAGCTACAGGTTCCTTCGAGATCTATGAATCGTGGTTTAAAAATTCTCTTCTAGATTGATGTATGAAAGATAAACAAGCAACACAGGACTTACCAGCAGCATAACAGAAGTGTTGAGAAAAGTCCAAGTATGGACCTGACTGGCCTTTACTTACTTCCCAATTCCCCTAGGGCATTAAGCTATTCACCCAAGGGTACAAGATCCCTTGAATGGGTTCCCTTTTCCTTGCAGACTCTTCAAAGCTACTCAAGACCAATACTGAGGCACCTACAACCATGAGCTACCCCTTGAACGGTGAGTTTTACTAGGGTTTGAGGGAGTCATAGAGGTCCAAAATGGTGTCATGGTAGCCAAGGAAGGAATCACAATGCCATTGAATGGCTAATAAACAGTCACTTGGTTTCTCAGAGAGAACATAGCAGTAAAGGAATGAAAACAACGACAAAAAAAAGATAAGAATGCTGAATACATACTCTTCTTTTTGGAAACTTCTGAGGCAAAAGGAAGGAAAGAGTTAGAATACTCCCATTGGAAATACAAGAAAAAAGAACACTGAATTCTATTCTGCTCCTAGTTTGACTTGCTGTGTGACTTTGGGTATATTACCTCCACTTGATGGGACTTCTTCTCACTTCCCACCCCTAACAGTAAGAAATGAAGATGCCTCATCTCATGGTACTAGTGGTTGATAACATGGCCAGGCACTCTGGAAGGTCCAGCACAAATGGCTAGAGAAGGACTCCAACCTTTGCAATCATCTCCTACCTCCAGTTTTTTGATAGAAAAGAGATCTCTGACCCTATTCTTTATATTCATAGCAACATCTACAGTAAAGCAACCCTGGGACTGGACCACTGACATGGATGGCTACCTTAGAATGACCAGGGCTGGGCCAGGTAAGAACACTGTCAGGATTTCTGTCTTTCCTTCTTGACTCTAAGCTTTGTGACTAAAACTTTCCATTATGAACACTGTTCTGCAGCATTGAACTCTGCAAATCATTACCTGCTATGTACCAAGCAATGGTCAAGGACCTGAGGATGGGTGAGGTGGGTGGGAGGTAGAGGGAGAGATATAGATCCAGGGATGAGCAAACTCAGAATGAGGTTAAGGGCAGTGGTAAATGTGTCCTTTATTTAGTTCTCAGTTGCCATATTCTCAGTTTCCCAATATTTTGAACAAGAATAGGGATAGGGCCATTATAATATCATGACCTCAGCCAAGTAAGGATAATGGCAGAATCTCATTACTTGAGCTCTTAGCCAGGGTTCTTCAAGCAGCTCAAAGCTGCTTTGTGATTCCTCCAAGGCCTTAAAGATTCCTAAGTCAGGGTCTCAGAGATTCAAATCCCAAGTAAATCTTTTGTGTTTCACCTGCATCTGATAGTCAATTGGTATGCACTGACATGACTACATTGACTGTTGAAATAATAGAACACTCTCATGCAAATGGATAATTAGCTGCTCTCCTCAACCCCTGAGCCCTCCATTATCACCTGGGCTGCCTTGGCCCATTACTCAGAACTCTCTAGACCACTCCGATGGTCATGCAACAAAAAGTATACTAAGGAATCTCTAAGACTCCAGGTCTACAGCAGGCATCTGTTGTGATTGGTTGGAATTAAATAGTTTGATAACTCTCAATCCTGGTACTCATTCTCTGGCTGTGTATAATTGAGAGTGAACTTCCAAATGCTCTTCGTACCTCTCCTTTTCTGCTTGCAGAGCTTTTTGGCTATCTCTAGGCATAGCTCAAACCTGTTTTATGTGCCACCTTTGCATTGCCATCTTTGGCTTCAATACTTCCATAGCTCTATTCTTCTCCCAGAAGAACATCTATTGGGAGAAGAGAAGTTAGAAAATGTCTCATGAAGAGTTGATTTAGAAAATGAGAAAATAACGTTCTGCAAAGTCTAAGTTCTCAGATGTTGGGTCTGTGCCCTATTTTCTCTACCAAGTTTTTCAGTACTTGACTCTCTTTTAAAAAGGATATTTTTTGATTTGTAGCAGCTTATAACTTGAATTATCTTGGTTCCAACAAGACACTCTAAGGACCACAAATACTGGATGCCTAGGACATAATATCTTTGAGTCTCATGAAAACAAGCCAGCTACATCAATAAATCCTGAGTACACTGAGATTCCTTTCCATATGCCTCTCTATCCCCAATCCAGCCTCTTAGATTCAGAATATTATGGCTAAAAGTGCATTAGACTTCATACAATCTTTTCATTGACCTTAAGGGGCAACTAAGGCCTAGTGACAGTCAAGGATTTGGTTAAGGTCACTGTATTCATTTTTCCACAGCTGCTGTAAAAACTTACCCCAAACCTAGTAGCTTAAAGCAACATAAATATATTATCTTCCGCTTCTGGAGATAAGTCTGACACAAGTATCACTGAACTAAAATCAAAGTGTCAGTCAGAAAGGCTGTGCTCCTTTTGGAGACATTGGAGAAGAATTAATTTCCTTCTCTTTTTCATCTTCTAGAAGCTACCTACATTCCTTTGCTCATGGCCTTCTTCCTCCATTTTCAAAACTAAAAATGTAGCATTCTCAAATCTCTATTCCTTTTTATTGTGTAAACTAACATACTCACAGGTTCCGGGAATTTGGATGTGAATATCTTTAGAGGACCATTATTCTGCCTACAACAGTCATACAGCAAGTAAATAACAGATCCAGGACTGGCAGCCCAGTCCAGTTGATTCCTTCAGTTTTTACACATAATGGGAATATGTACCTCAAGGGGCTCAGTGGAAATATGTTTTCAGAATGAAGGAAGCTGGGGACTTAACCAGAGAGTATGATAGGAAGAATCTTTTTGGCTAGAAGTAACTGACCAGAATATTAATAAGGTGTGTAGCATTTTTGGTGAAGCTGGAAAATCAAGATATTATTTTCTTTTTTGAGACAGTTTTGCTCTTGTAACCCAGGCTGGAGTGCAATGGCACAATCTCGGCTCACTGCAACCTCTGCCTCCCAGGTTCAAGTGATTCTCCTGCTGCAGCCTCCCAGTAGCTGGGATTACAGGCATGTGCCACCATACCCGGCTACTTTTGTATTTTTAGTAGACACAGGGTTTCTCCATGTTGGTCAGGCTAGTTTCGAACTCCTGACCTCAGGTGATCCACCTGCTTCAGCCTCCCGAAGTGGTGGAAATTACAGGTGTGAGCCACTGTGCCTGGTCCTAGTTTCTTTTTTCTAAGGGAAAGTGAAAACTCTCTATTTTGGCCCTATAGAAAGCATGGAGAACTAGCTCAAATGCCCAGGAAATCAGCCAACCAGTGAGTCTGGAAGAACCTGGCATCTGTTTCTCAAGTCTTTCTCATGGACCTGGAGTTTAATTTGTCTATCTGGCTAGCTAAGAAGGTTAGAAGAATATGGAAAAAGGGAAAAAAAAAAAAGGTCTGGCCTAGTCTGGTCTGTTCCCTAGAGTTCTTGTTTCCGGCCTTATTTTCAACCAGATACCACTTGACCTTGTTTTATCCCCTAGGAAAGAGCATGCCTATCTTTGCCATCATCCTCATCATCTCCTTGTGCTGTATGGTGGTTTTTACCATGGCCTATATCATGCTCTGCCGGAAGACATCCCAACAAGGTGAGTGATGAATATGAGAAGGTGGCTTTGGCTCATCTATCCTTTCTGTCAGTATATTTGAACCTAAACTCTGTATCAGGCATTTGTGTTAGGCACTTCAAGAAGCTCCCAGCCTAGTTCAGGAGTAAGGGTTAAAGTGCAAAGACACAGACATTCAGGCAAACAATGGCATAAGACTTACGGAACCAAATGCACTAGTCTTTGGTACTGAGTCAAGTACAACCATCTTTTAATGAGTCATTGTAATGATATAAGAAAAGGAAAAGTCACAGTCCTTGCCTTCAAGTTTCTTACAATTTATTTAGGAGATTCAAGGTAGAAACATGGAATTTATCAATAATAACACATAGCAATAAAGGCTATGAGTTCAAAACCTACAGAAGACAATCAATACTAAAGAGATCCAGAGGAGAAGAGAATCATTTAAGGCTTGAGCAATTAGCAAGGGATTTCAGAAGGAGGAATATCTTTGACCACATTTTAGAGGATGAAAATAATTCATAAGGGGACAGTATTTCAGGAAGAGAGAACTACATGAACAAAGTTGTAAAGACCTAAAAGACAACTGAGAGTGCGGTCATCAGTAAAAAAAATTCTGTAGATGGGCAACAGGGAAGTACCGTGGGAAAGGGAAGCTTATTCCTGATTATAGAAGGCCTTGAATGCCAGGTTAAATAATTTGGACTTTCTTCACTAAGCGTTGTAAGGGCACTAAAAGTCACCAAATTTTTTAAGCATGGAAGTGGCATAATGACAGCACAGTTGTCAGAGTCATTCAAAAACTATGAGCCAACAGAGGAAGAAAAAGAATATTGAGGTGGTTGTTTCTAAAAGGAAAAAAAGAAAACCCTAGCTGTCTCTCAATACCCAGTGCACTGGTCATTTTCCCTAGCATTAGTTTGTGTTTTCTATAGCATCTCTTACTCCCAAACAGCCTGATTTCTACCATGGGTCTCATGGAGTTCCACCATCAGAAGGAAGTCTTGAGTATCTCCTCCTCTCAGATCTCAAGTATAAGTTCTGGCTTTGGCCAGTTAGCATGGCTATCACCATGAGGCTGAACGTGATAGCAGAGATACCTCACATGGCCACAAATGCCAGGGGCACTAAAAGGAGAGTATTTCTCATAGTCTTGATGAGGTTGGACATAAATCATAACCACATTAAATTTTTTCTCTCTCAAAAACTTTCCATGGCTTCTCATGGCCCAGGGAATAAAGGTCAAAATGTAGCATTCTATTCAATGCTCTCTGTGATCTTGCTCTAGCCAATTTTCTAACGTCCATCATTTCCTTATACCTAGTCTCATTTCCAAAATTTTTTCTTTCCTACTTCTCTATAAGGAAGATATCTTTAAGGCATCAATTTAATTTAATATAATTACTGAGCATCTATTGTGTGACAGGCATTGAGCATATTAAGATGAAAAAGACATGATCCTTGCAGTACAGGAGCTCATAGGCCAGTGGGGGAGGTAAGACACAGAAATGCAGGGCTCTCGCACAAGGCAGAAGTCCTGTGGCTTGCCTTGTTTACTTTGTTATCATTTAATGCTTGCATTTCCAGTTGCAGCCCAGAAGAATTGTAAGCACCTACAGGGCAGTACCAAGAAATATCTATCTTTGTACCAACCTAAGCCTTTGAGCCTTTATGGAATATATGACACTATTTCCGACACTAGGGGGCAATGGTGACCTATTTCACGGGTTTTCCTGGGTATATGGTGGGGGTGACTGCATTTGGGAATGGCTTGGGTCACGGTCGTCAGCATCAGGCTAATCCAGCCCCTTCTTCCTGGTCTCTGGCCTGACAGTCAAGTTTCCCACAAGGACTCTCTGGGGATCTTTGGGGGAGATTCATGGGTAAAGAGCAGGTCCAGTTCCAGTTCCTTCCCCCAACCCATACCCAGAAACTGCTCCAGCCCAATATTCTAAGTCAGAGATGACAAAAAGTTTGCACTTTTCCTTCCTTTCCCTGATAAATCTGCATCATTGTGTTTCAATTCACGTCTCCCATACCTCCCAGTTGTTGGAAAGCTGAGACATAAAATCTCCTTCTCTGTACACTTCCCTCATCTTTTGACTGGCACCCAGGGTCCACGCTTGACCCTTGTTAACTTGCCATGAAAACTTCTGACATGATTCCTCCTTCTTTTCTAGAGCATGTCTGTGAAGCGGCCAGGTAAGAAAGCCTCTCCTCTTCCATTTTTGACCCCTTCCCTGCCCTCAATTTTGATTATTGGTGGGAAACGTAGAGGAAGGGGGGTGTGGCACAGACCGAATCCTAAGGCCAGAGGCCTTCAGGGTCAGGACATAGCTTTCTCCCCTCTCTCAGGCATCTCCTGAGGTTATCTTGGCCCTCTAAACACAAAGGATAATTTAAATCCATCAGCCTTCTGCTCCCAGAATCTTTGGGAGGTAGGATCCTGAGAATTAACTGGCAAGAATTGAGGCAGAAGGGTGGGAAAACAGGACCCCAGCCCAAAGCCCCTTCTTATGGGTAGTGGGCTCTTGGGCCATAGGGTGCATGCCAGGGAGACCAACGACTCTGGAGAAACCACGAGGGTGGCCATCTTCTCAAGTGGCTGCTCCAGTGATGAGCTAACTTCCCAGAATCTGGGCAACAACTACTCCGATCAGCCCTGCATAGGCCAGGAGTACCAGATCATCACCCAGATCAATGGTGACTACACCCAGCTGCTGCACACAGCTGCACGCAGTTCCTGTGTATTATGAGTTTCTGGCCACTGAGGCAAGAGTGTCTGTTTAAAACGCCCCACTAGGCCAGGATCTGCTGACATAATTGCCTGTTCAGTCCTAGCCTTTTGTATAGCAGCCTTCCCTGCTACCTATCTTCATGAATAGCCTCAAATTTCTGCCCTGCCAATAATGGGGCCCCTGGTAGTCACTGGCTTTGCTTTAGAATTTGCCAGATGCATTTCAAGTAAGTCAGCTGCTGGATTTGGCCCTGGGCCCTTCTAGAATATCTGCCTCGGGCTTCTGGTACTCGTCTCTAAACACCAGAGGGAAGATACCCGTAGCACTAGGACTTTATCATCATGCCTACAGGCACTATTCAACTTTGGCATCTTGCCACCAGAAGAGGAGCGGGAGACTCAGCTCTGCCAGCTCAGAGGACCAGCTGCATCCAGGATCATTTCTCCTTCTTCAGGGCCAGACATCTTTTAATTGAGATTGTCATATCACAGACCAGGGCTCGGTTCTGTTCCTGCACTGAAAGTCTAATGTTCTGACTCTTAATGCTCAATAAATATCTAATCATAACAGCAATCTTAGTTGTGTTGTTCTTCTCTCACGGTACGGTAGGACCTACAAAACGTAATTAAAGTGAGACTAGTTAAGATGGTTGGGGCCCCTGAGAGTATGGATGTCACTTTGCTTTTTTGGTCTTTCCCCTTCCCACACATGCCACTCTTACTTTACTCCACTGGTAAGCCCAGCTGGAACACAGTGAATATTTGATTACATAGTACTTCCCTGGCTTCCATTACCCCACCTATCATCCTGCCAGGTCCATCTGGATGATTCTTCCCACATCAACTGGAAGCCTGGAAAAGAAAAAATCCTTCTGTCTCTGGGGACTATAAATGCAGAGATGAAGGGATTTCCTTCTTTCCAAAGTATGGATGCACCACTCCCAAGGATTTCACCTTTTGAATCTTAAAATCTTGTGGGTAGTTGCATTTTTTCACAGGTTATCTTCTTCACGCTATTTCTTACAATGTGAGGTGGGGTAAGAGCAAGAAAGCCTTTCTCTTCCAGCAGGAATAGGGTTAGGGGAGAGTGAGAGAGAAAGAGAGAGTGTGTTTGTCTGAGTTTGTATGTGTACATAAGTTCCTGCACCTTTAAATAAGGCTCCTCTGTGAGAACCTGTTCTGACCCAGGTCTACACAGCTTTCTTTTCCCCGTGTAATTAATGTCAAATCAACTTCTGCACCCTTCAAAGAAGCTGCCATGTTGCTACTTCTGGTTCCCATGCAGCCCCAAAGGACAGTTCATGTTTCACAAGGTGCTGTTCCCCTTTTGCGATAATTACAGACTTCAAAATAGTACACAAAAGTAACAAAAAGGAATCCACCATTTCACTAACATGCCAGATCCATGGTAGAAACCTCAACATTTTCCTCATTCCAGATGCTAGCTTCACCTAGTTGGTGAAAGGAACAACTCTTTCTTTCCCATGGTGCTTACAAGCCTCTGAAATAGGGCCTCCACCCAGTGGAAAGCTCACCTTCCTTCATGAAACAACTCTGTGTCCAGCCCCGACAGCCTTTGAAAATACCCATTATCTTTCCCTGCTACCCATCAAAAAGTGAGTTTCAGGTGTTGGGGAGAAAATCCTGGTTGCATTTGCACTAGAAAAACGAGCCACAAATCCAGGCACACTTCTCCCTAAGAGCTAAGGACTCCCAGGGATATCTCAAAATCATTCATCTTAAAGAACCTAGAGATTACTGATTCTAGTACTCCCGTATTAAAGACGAGAAAATGAAGCTCAGAGAGGAACAACCACCAAGTTAGTGGTAGAATGGAGACCAAAAGTCAGCCCCGTGAACTCCTCAGTGCATATATTTATTGCAGCATCTGGATCTTCTTTGCTTCAAAACTGAGACTTTTTTTCAGATAGGACAGGCTAGTAAAAAATTCCTATGTATAGAGATAGTTCAAAGCTGCAGGATAGGCTAAACAAAAATGAGGTAACATGGGACCTTTCTTAGGCAGGTGGCTGGGTGGAGGAAGTAGATGAGTGAAAAGAGGAAAAGATCTCCAGAACAGAGAGAAGGTGTAAAGTTTCTCTATGACAGTTTCCCAAATTTTGCTTCATGGGCCATTGACACATGGGAAAAAATTGACACATTGGAAAAGTTTTTTTTTTTTACTTTGGGAAAGAAATTCATGATCAGTTAAGTGTGGCAAATGCCTCATTCTATTGTTTCGTCTTTGAGATTCTCAAGGTAGCATTAAACTATTAAAGGTTCTGAAAAATCCTGTAATAAAACACCTGTATAACTGTGTAATCAAGTAACACCAAAATTTATTTGCCTTCTGAATCTACTCTTTTGTCCTTTTCTTCCAGCCCTTGACATTGCTTCTCAGGGGAAAAAAAAAAAAAAAAAAAAAAAAAAAAAAAAAAAAACCTTCATATTGGCTACTACCTAATATGCTCTATAACATTCGGTGTACGCAGTTTGATTTCTCGTTCAAAATCCAACGTAGAATTTGGCCCCAAGGCCTAAAGCTAGTGGACTAGTGGAAAGTCAATCAATCAGTAAAGGTTTATTTTTTTCTGTAATCAAAGTACCAGGCTGTGGTAGGGGAGACAGCAATCAAAGATACATAGCCTTGTCTTCTAGAAGCTCACAATCTAGTTGGGAATTCAAGAATACCCCCCTAGAAAAGTTCATTGACAATGCAAGAGGTGCTGTTAGAAACTAAGAGAGAAAGAGGCACATACCAGGGCCCAGGCAAGAAGTGCTTTGTGAATGAAGAAGGAAAAAGTTCAAGTTGACTTTTTAAAGTCTCTGGAAACACTGGACTTTGGCTAGGTCAGGAAATATGGGAAATATTTGAATAGGCAGAAATAAATGAGGAAAGTCTTCCTAGACGAAAAGACATGTGGAAAAGGGAGGAGGTAGGCAAGGTCAAGGAGTGTTTAGAAACCAAGACTGAGCATCAAGAAAGTGAATTTCTAAGCCCTGCTTTCTCACATAAGCTATGATGCTTGTGTGAGAATTCTGGTGTCCTAGATGGGAGACTCTGGGAGGAGAATGTGAAGGAAGAAAATAACAATGTATCAAAGAGCACTTCCATTCCTGGACATTTTATAAATTTTCAAGACTATTGTGTCCCCATCAGCACTCTCATGATGTGTGTAGACGAAGCCCAGGGCTGTAATGCCCACAGATGCCACACTTTTCCCCTGGTGTCCTCAGATATAATGCGTCAGTTCCTGCAAAGTCACTTAAAATAACTCATGAGAACTTGGTGCTTGGTGAGCATCCTTGTATCCAGCTGGCAGTTCATCTGTTATATCCCATCTGCCCTGGTCTGGAGCTGCTAAGCATGTGTCGCACTTGGGGTATTTGACAAACTGACACTCTACCACACTGAGTGTCCAACTCAGCTTGTCAAATACACGGAGCGTGGCACTGCAGGAGGCCAGGCCAGGGGCTTCTGTGGGAAAGTGAGATCTTCCTGGGAGGTGTGACCCTGGAGGGAAAGAGAGAGAAAGAACTGATGAGGTCACACTCTTAGCCCTAGAGAACTTGCTGAAAGGACCAGTCAAAGCACCAGAATAGGGAAGTGAGCAGAATAGGCATAAGGATCCTATCCAGAAGAGCAATCCTAAGGATAAGCAGGGAAGGCCTGATTGACACCCAGTGCTCAGCTGGAAGCTCCTCAGACCTGAGTCCTGTAGCTATGGCTTTTCTAGGTGTCCCAAGCTTCAGTGGGTTCCTCTATGAAGCAAAGAGGGGAAAATTTGGTCATCATCCTGCCTCTCTGACTTGGGGAAAGTACCAGACCCCAGAGCCATCATCCTTGCTCCCTCTTCTTCTCAGTTCCCCTAAGCTGTGTTTTCACAGTGTTGTGGTTATACACATAGGCTTTGAGGTTAAACATAAGCTTAAATCCTAGCTCTTCCATTAGCTATCCAGGCAACCTTGGATAAATCATTTCACCTTTCTGAGAGCAAGTTTGCTACACACACAAAATGTATGTAAGCATAATACCTACCTCATAAGGTTATTGTGAGAATGACAGGAGAAAATACACGTAAAGCCTTTGGTTCAGTATTCAATACATAACAAACACTCAAAAAAAAAAAAAAATAGTGATTGTAACACCAAAACGAAAGCAAGAGCTATTGGCAGTTGACTTAGCAGATTCTGGACAGGTGTGACATTGATTTCTCGTGGTCTCAGCCTTGCCTAACATGATCCTCTTGTCCCATAGGGACTCAAGAATGGCAACTATTAAAGTGCCCTTAAAGATCATCTAGTCTCACTCACTTAGGTTATAAATGAGAGAACAAAGGCTCATGTTGGGGAGGAGACTTGTAAAATTTATACAATAAGTTTTCTACAGTTCAGCAGTATGCCTTACACAGCTTTCCTCATTGGTTCTATTGCCTCCCTTCTCTGTATATCCCTCTAGGAAAGGGGAAACACAGCAACAAAGAGGACAAAAACAGATAGTACCTTTGCAATGCAGCGTTTGGGATCACTGAACCCACAAGTCACCAGCGCAATAAGGAAGATGCCAGAAGAAGGGTCAGGTCTGAAAATTCCTGGAGAATTCCCTTGGCAACACTCAGAACTTGTTACTAAAAATGCCGGGTTGCCAGGGTCAAATTATTGCCCTTACCAGCTGTGGCAGTCGGTCTGTGAGCAGGTAGCTGGTCTACATTAAGTACTGTCATGAAAAGTGGCAAGAATTTCAAGGTTACCAAAAATGGAAAACTGTCCCCATGAGGCCAGTTTCCAGCCAAGGCAAGACAGAAGGATTCAGCCTTGTCTTTCAGCAAGAAAACACTCAACGTTTTTTCTTGCTCAACTCTTTTAACTGAATGTAAGGGGTTAACATACCCCTTCAATTTAAGTTCTAGCAGTAACCTCAAAACTAAGGCTCTTTTGCTCCCTCGCTTCCTTTTCTACCTACTCAATCCAGCCTAAGTCACCCAGCAGCAAAAGCAGTAGTCATGGTCACCAGATATGGTATGAAAAAATCAGACAAACTTGTGTTCTGATGCTGTCTTGGCCATCAACTAGACAATCATGGCTTGGGCAAGTCTTCCTTTGGGCTTCAGTTGTCTTCTCTGGAAATGAGGACAAAAAGACTTACCTGGCAAAGTTGTTGGAAAGTGTTGCTAAGCTTTCCAGAGATTCCCACACCGGAGCTCAAAAGGACCTTGGCTCATCCCCTGAACCTGTGGTTGGAGGCCAGCCAAGCAAGCTGATTAACAGAGTTTGAGTTGGGGATGGAAGGAAAAAGAGAAATGTATTTTTACCTTTGTGGTATCATTACCCTCATTGGCTACCAGCTCTAGAAAGAAGACCTAGATAAGCTGGAGGTGTTCACAGCCTTTTGAATGCCCTCTCTGACTTTATTCACCCCCAGAAAGCCTGGGAAAAAAGCATGAAAGGAGCTGAAAATTCTTAGTACTTCAAAATTTGGAGATCCTTTTAGACAATAATGCTCTAATATTGATGGAAGAAGTTAGTGGCTGAGCTGAAACTAGACTGGTTTCATTTCCACTCTTGCTGTTCTAGTCCATGCCTCTTCAATGGAGTGTATATAAGAAAATCAGGTTCAGTTGAGAAATGTTGGCCAGACCCATAGAAAGAAGAGATAAATGTCTATGTGGGATGATATTAAAGGAATTTGGAAGCTCTTTTTTTTTGTCTGTTACATTACTTGGAATAACATCATTTTTTTCCCATATGAAATGTAAAATCCTCAATTGAAGAGCTTCACAAAGCCACTATTATTGGCACAAAGGATGGGTCAGTTTTTATAGAGGTAATTGGAGGGAACTGACCAGAAGTAGGAGGGGTAGGTGTCTGGAAATCTCTGAACACTCAGAGTGAGCCAAGCATCTGAAAGAAGAATAGAAGAAAAGAAGAAGTCCTCAGGACCATGCCTAAAAAATCCAGACTGCCTCTACTATGAGGAGGCCCAACTGAGTCAGTTACAGGACAGGTCCTGCTGCTTGATGTCTCTGTCCTCCGAGGACAGAGCAAAAAGAGGACTGGCCTGGGAATCCAGACTCAGCTCTGCTACAGATTCTCTGTATGATCTTGGGCAAGTCCCTTTCTTCCTCTTTCTGGACCTCAGTTTCTTCTTCCACATGTACTTGGTCTCTAAGAGTATTTCAATTTTGAACTTCCAGGAGTCAAAAATTGGACTAGAGAAGAGGCTTTCATCTTTGAGCCATGCCTCTCATAGAGTGCTATATGGATTACTACCAGCTCTCCTCTTGGATGTGTTCGGCCCCACCCACAGTTACATATGCAAAGATTACTCGCATCTTCCTTCTTGACAGAGGGCTGACAATCATAAAAATAAGGAATCTAATAACTAAAAGTCTCTAAACAGCACTCATCTATTCATTCTTTTCTTATTCATTTATTTATTTATTTATTTATTTATTTTACAAAAGGGATGAAAAAGCTGAGTCCTAGATTGGAGAAAGGACTTTCCCAAAGATACACATTGGGTAAATGGTAAAACCAGGATTGCTACTCAGATTTTCTGACTACTGGGTCCAAAGAACATTCCACTTCCATGTGACTTTCTCCTAAACATACTAATTGGCTAGAAAATATCCTATCTCCTTTTCCCCACTAGTAGAAGTTCCAGGATGGAAGGTCAATGGAAACCTTCTTCCTCCCACCTTTGACACTGATACCTGAGGAGGGTCTGAGGAAAATGGGATGGGCAGATCTAAGCCACCCTTGGCTGCCACAGACACTGCCCTAGCTTGGGAATGCAAGAAGAGAGGGCAAATTGATACCATACCTGTCAGTGGAGTGGTGCCTTGGTCATGGAGGGGACACTGGTTCCCCAGTGCTGAGCCAACCTGCAGGGGCCAGATGGAACTGGGCTTTATGCTGTGAGCAAGAAGGTTGTGTGTTTTGAAGGGCCCTTGGTGTCTTCAACAGGAAACAGAAATGAGGAAGATAAGACTGAGGTTAGCCAACGGAAATCTGGGTGCGAAATGACAAAACAATGCTGTTGTGAAAGGGTCTGCTACTGCAGCAATAGTAGCGGAACACTGCCCTGCCTCCACCAACTCCCAGCTGACTTTCAACAGACACTAACTTTCCAAGCTGCAGAGAGAGAGAGAGCGGAAAGCACTTGGTTGCCCTAGGCTCTGCCTGTGGGTCAAAGAGGTTTTCCCAGAATAGTTGAAGGAAACCTGGAATGCCAGAACGGAGTCATTATCTAATGAAAAAGCCCATTTTCAAAATTCAGAAACAGAGCCTCTGACGGATAAAAGGAAATGCTTAGTATCACAAAGCAAATTAGTGGCAAAGCCGAAATTTGAACCCATCTCTATGGACTTCAAATCACATGTTCTTTCACTCTGCCAGAATGACTCCTGGTCCTGGAATACCATTTTACTTCCAACTTCTCTCTTGTCATATAGAACCAGCTACATAATTTGCAAGGCCCAGTAAAAAAATGAAAATAATAGGCTGCTTATTTGAAAATTAAGAACAGGCCAGGCACAGTGGCTCACGCCTGTAATCCCAGCATTTTGGGAGGCCAAGGCAGGTGGATCACAAGGTCAGGAGATTGAGACCATCCTGCCTAACATGGTGAAAACCAGTCTCTACTAAAAATACAAAAAATTAGCCAGGCATGGTGGCACATGCTTGTAGTCCCAGATACTCAGGAGGCTGAGGTGGGAGAATCACTTGAACCTGGGAGAGCGAGGTTGCAGTGAGCCAAGATCATGCCACTGCACTCCAGCCTGGGCGACAGAACAAGACTCTGTCTCAAAAAAAAAAAAAAAAAAAAAAAAAAAAAACTAAGAATATCAACCTGACAACAACAGAACATTAAACTAAGTGTGGAATCCTTCTAAGCATGGAGCCCTGTGAAGTTGTAGAAGTCATATGCCTATGAAGCTGGTCCTGGAGCACAGCTATAACCACACGCCACATTCTGTCATCTCAGGACTTGTAGAAGGAAATAAATAAGAAAATTCACATTTATTAGAGTACTTATGATGTTCTTTTACATGTATTATCTAATTTATTCAACAACCCTCTGGTATGGTATCATCATTATTCTTATTTATAGGTGAGAAAACTGAGGCACACAGAAATAAAGTGACTTGCCTAAGGAAACGAAACTAGAAAATAATAGAGAAGCCAGATTTTTCACTCAGGTCTAACTCCAAATGTTGAGATTTTCTTTTACTCTTCCACATTGGCTACAAGGAAGGGGGGAAGAAAGTAGTTGGCCTTGAGAAAGAAAGACAGTGCCAGACCCCTAAGTTAAACTGTGACCTTTAGGCAAATAAGGGACATGAAAGGTGTAAAAAGAGGGTGAGTAGTTTCCTAGTGCCTCATGTTTAGAGTCCCTAGGAAGTCCCCATTAATAGCCAGGAAGATGATGAATTCCCACGATGCAGTGCCCTCCACCATGAATTCTGATGGCATGGAGGATGGGAGGGGCAATTCCTTCAATGCTTTCAGGGTATATTTTGGATAGCTTTCAATGATTGCAGTGCCCAAGTCACAGTCCTTTGTCTACAGTAGAGGAAGTATGGCCCTGAGTGGTACTCAAGCAATGGTAAATAACCTTTCCAAGCTACATACATTCTTATAAATTCAGGTTCAAAAGAAAGACCATAACCTGTGAGCCAAGAGCCCTGCATCCTAGTCCCCACTCTAATTCCTCCCTGGGCATTAGTTTCTCCTTTAACTAACAGAGGTTGGACTAAATGGTCGTGATGACCACTCCAACTCAAACATTCCCTGTTTCCTTTGTGGCTCTTTCTTACTCACTGTGAGCTTCCCCGTTGTTGCAGGACCTGAGGCTCCATGGAATTCTAAGGTAGGGATTCACTTGCACTAACATTACTCTGTAGGAAACTTCCTTATACCAAAATAATTTATTGGCTTAGGCCTCAAGACCCTGGATCTAGCTTCTAGAAAGATTCAGTTCCTGTTTCTTTTTGGTTTCTGACTAAAGCTTGGAGCGGAAGTAAGGTGGTCCTGTGGGCACTTTGCTAAAAAGGGACCCCCTTCTTTCTACTCACAAAATAGAGATTAAGATTAGTTACACACATTTTTTTTCTTTTTTCTCCCTTATCAATTAGGGTACTCTACTAACTTTCTAATAGGGTTTCTGGAGACAATGTATTTGCTTAAAGTAATAATTAATGGTATCTACTTTGAGCCCAACAATAGGGCAATAAAAGAGAGCATTAGGAACCAGAAGGCTCTGAAAATCACACCACCTATGCAGAGGACTCGAATGAGAGCAAAGGGAACTGAGCTCAGAGTTCCTCTTTAGCCCACAAACACCAACTATGCTGGGAAGGGCCAAGTTTGCAATAACAGCACAAAAGGGCTTCTTCTTTTTGGTCTGTTGTCCAGGCTTCTGCTCAGAGCAACCAAAAATCACAAAGTTTTCCCATTTTGGATGATTTCTGCCTTCCCTATGCTTGTGGGGGGAGATGAGAAAGAAGGGAAAAGAGTTGACATGGGGAGCAAGCAGGCAGTGCTGGGGTCTCACACTACAAATACTCATTTATTTCCTCAGTACTGGAATGGAAAGAACATGGAATCAGAGTCCCTGCATCTTAGACCCTAGGTTATGGACAAAGCTCTGTAACTCATTAACTATGTGACCTTGAACAATCAAACACAGCCTTTCTGAGCCTCAGTCCCCACATCAGATTGAAGGATTCTCAGGCTAAAGGGAAGTGGAAGACAGGCTGCACCCAGGAGCTATGTCACTTTACAGAATATAATGAGTAATTTGACAAAGGCATGAAGTGTCATCAGATATGTAGATAAGATTCTCCCAGGGAAGAATATGAGGAGGTGATGGTAAGTAGAAAGGTTCTCAGAAGAATAGGATTTTAGCTATATCTAGAAAGATAGGGAGAAAAAAATGATGCTCACTGTCTCTGGAAAGCCTTCTCTGACAACCACCTACAAAATTAGTTGCTTTCCACCTTGCCCTTCTCTATTCTTGAAACCCACACTGCACTTACATGTCAGTCTCTACCAGAAGACCAAGCACTGCCCAAAGTAGGAACTATGCTTAATCTTTACTGTCTTCTTAGGCCTAGGAATAAACTAATTATCCCAGAACTGTGAGGTGAATAAGTGAATGCATAAGCATTCAATGCATAAGCAAAACAAAGAGACCTCATGGCCCAATGTCCCCACATTGCTTAGCTTACCCTACCTCCATGAAGGAGCTGAGAAACCCTTTACCCTTCATTTTGAGTGTATCTTCCTGTTCACTCACACCCACCTCCTTTCAGAAGACTTTCAAGAAGTGGCCCTAGAGAAAATTGCAAAGCTAAGGCCACTTCCTGTGCAAGCGGCTGGTGTCCACACAGGCCACCTCAACCCTGGTGATTGCTATGCATAGGATTGCATCGTGGTTTCCTCTGAAAGGAAATCCAAAGGCTGATGCAATGTGTAGGGCATCCCCATGCCAAAACTAAAGAACTTTTTGTATACCTGGGCCTGGGGACAAAGGTTTCACTGTGAGGCTCACCACAAAACAGTGGTATTGACAAGATAAATGGCAGCAATTAACCTACTAACTACAGCTTAACTATATGCAGCAACGGTGTGTTGTGCACCTAGTGGCTACAAAGCTGTATGCTTAGCACCAAGGGAATAAAATGAACATACAACAGAACAGAAATATGCAACAATATAATACAAATGTAATGTGAGCCACAACCATTCCTCTTTTTTTTTTTTTTTTTTTTTTTGGTGAAAAGATATACATATATTTAGAATTAGCCAGCTGGACTCAGTTTAGATGATCCCAATTTTGTTGGCAACATCCAAAGCATCGTAATCAGGAGCCAGTAGAACATATGCCTTCTTCTCTCCATCGGGCCGAAACAGGGTGTTGACCTTGGCCACATCAATGTCATAGAGCTTCTTCACAGCCTGTTTGATCTGGTGCTTGTTGAGCCACAACCATTCTAACAGCCGCATTTAAAAATTTTTAATAAATAAATGAAACTAATTTTAATAATATAGTTTATTTAGCTCAACACATCCACAATGTTATTTCAACCTGTAAACATTGTAAACATTTATTAATAAGATATTTTACATTATTTGAAATGCAGTGTGTATACAAACAGTACACCTCAATTTCAACTTGCCATGTTTCTAGTGTGAAATTGTCATATGTGGCTAGTGGCTACCATATTGACCAGATCAGGCATAAGACATGGTCTCAACCCTCCAGGAATTCACAGCCTAGTCCAGAAACCAGAATGCTACATAAGCATGTTCAAAGAATGAGTACAGTAGTGGAGGTGCATATATAGAAAAGAGCACTGCACTACGAGTCAGAAGATCTGGGCTACAGTCTTTTCTCTGCCACTGATTCTCTGTGTGACCTTGAGCAAATCCCTCTCCCTTTCTGGGCCTCCATATTTCCATGTCTACATTAAGTCTGGATTAAATTTATTCATGAAACAAATATAGGTTGAATGTTTTCTAAGCGTCAGGCATGATGCAAGGTGCTCAAGATGCAGAAGTAAACAAGACATATAAAATGTCTGCCTCCTTGACATATACGGTGTGGTGGAAAATAGTCATTAAACAAATTCTTAAAATATGTCAAGAAAGGGGAAAGACCAGAGAGCAGGGAGAACACATAACAGGACAACATAACCTACCAGGCTTGGACAGGTCAAGAAAATTTCTTAAAGGAAGTAACTTTTAAAGAGAGACTGAAAAAATGAAAAGTAGTGAGCCAAGTGGATAATGGGTGCAAGGCAGTTCCAAGCAGAAGAAGCAACAAGATAAAAGGCTGGTATGGCTTCAAAACGAGTGAGCAAAGGAAAAAAGATAGCATAAAGGAAG